ATAATTTAATCAAATATACCAAAAAAATATTCTTGGAGAAATATCCATACAGCAGCCCACGATATCAATACTGTATCATCACATTAAACGATACGATATGTTGATGTTTTGGTATTTTGATATTTTTCGAGACCAAACCAGAAGTTAGAGGTCAGATCTGTGGAAAGGCGACCCCGCTCACAGTCAAAATGCAGTTTTTCTAGGTATTTTTGAGCTATAAAACCACCTGTAATTGAATAAATAAGTAAAGTAGAGCTGTTTAAAGTCATACTATGGGACATTTCAGGCAGAAACATAGAAACAAGCAGGTGAAGCAGTTTAAAAATGGGTTTACTGGGATTATTCAGCTTTGTCAGTGGCATAAAGTGGTTTCAATATTATCTTTTATTCTTTTATAATAGCATTTCTCTGGAGCAGCATACTGTATCAAGGTTCACATTTTGTTATCATGACGGGCCTACTCATTGTATCAGAAAAGGTGTAATCTTTGGGCTGTGGAGAATTGGGATTGTATGTGACAGACAGGAAAGGTCAGTATCAGAGATCAATACAGCTAATGTCCATCACTGCTGAGAGACCGTGAGGAGGGTTTGTGTTGAGGAAGCGCCTGTCAGGGCCGGACACTGCTCTCAATCTGAGCACTGTCAGAGCCAATCTGTGTTCCTGTAAGGAGCGAGGGAGGGCCAGGCCTGTGCTTCTCATTAAAAGTCCAATATTATGCAAAACTGAGCTTGAACTTGTAAGCTTTTAGCCATGTTAGAATTAGGGATGGGCATTCGATGAAATTTTCTTAATCGATCGTCGGAAGAATTAACGATCGATTATCGACGTCATTAACGTTTTTATATTAAAATGATCATCATTATTAGTACTATCTGCTTACTAATGTGCATAAATAAATTCAACTTTACGACATATAAACCGTAACGACTCTAGAGCCACATCAGCCCGTTTGAAATTATAATGTGTTTAATTCAGTTTTGCGCAACTCTCACAGAAACGAAACTTAAAACCGCATCGCTAATTTGCATAAACTCAGCGAAAATAAAACTACAGCTCTTGTGTCGCTGATGCGGTCAACTTCTGTCGGATTAAAAGACATGACTCAGTGGAATACAGGTTAGTGTGACCATATTTGCGTTTGACAAAACCAGGACACCGTACGGGGGGAGGGAGGCGGGGCCTCGTCATCGACATTGCGCGACTCTCACCTGGTAAAACTTTTTCCCACTGGACACCGAAACATATGTGCTGCTTTGTTCACTGTGCACATGGACTCACACTTGTCCCGAACGCAACGGAAAGGGTGGAATTTCTTGTACAAGTCATCGTTAATACGCATTTGTGCTTCGGTACGTTGCAGGCTGACCAAATGTTTGTGTTTGCTCGCTCCTTCTGAGTGCAGAGAGACATGTACGGACCCCTGTTTGGTCACGCTACGCACAGCAACCTGCATTCGGTTTGTCGATTAAAATTAACGTAATCGATGAAATTCTTAATGATCAATTATCGATTAATCATGCCCATCCCTAGTTAGAATGTTGTTACCGCTTCAAAAACAGACTAGGAATAGTGGTTTGTTTCATTCACACATGTCTGAGTCATCCTTCATCTCCAAAATATTCTCTTCCAACTTCTGATGTCATGAAGCGGTAGTTTTCAAGTTGACAGATATATTTTTTGTTGTTGTTTTGTTGTTTATATTGTTTGTTGTTTGCAAATCCAGAGCTAAACTCATCCAAAAGTGAAATTATGGGTTTTGTAAAGGTGTATAGAGTTTAAAAATACTTCAAGCACTTGACATCACAAGGTGGAAAAGAGTTTCTAGAGCTGGGAATCATTAAGATGTTGCCGATACGATACATACCTCGATACAGTGCACTTTCGATTCAATACAATATTTCAAATCGATTCGATACAGTTCAGTAAAAAACAAAAGCTAACTCATGACTGTGATACTAAAAGTCTTTGTTAAACCACTTCTTGTGCAACGTTCATATGAAACACAAACATTTTAATCATCAAAACAGTGAAAATGTCAAATGTGCTGCATGGATGAGTTTTCTTCTCCTAAACAAGCAGCAAAACTGTAGCGCTGTGACAAAATAATTTGTAAAAAATACCAAAAAATACTCGATATATAGATACGGCAGCCCATGATATCGTCACTGTATCATCACATTAAATGATACGATATAACAATATTTCCATATTTTTGCATCTTCTTCTTGTTTTCTGTTCTTCTGAGAGAAGAGCCTAGAGCCTAAGGGTTTATGAAACAACTCCAGGTACGTCTGTGAAGAGGAAACAACATATACCGAAGACCAAAATAGTGTAGTGAAGAGACGACAGTGGCCCTCATAGTCAAAAAAGAACATGGACTAGACTAGGGGTCTCCATCCTGTAGCTCAGGAACTACCAGCAGCTCTCCAGCCTCTTCCAAGTAGCTCGCCAAGGGATTTCAGAATTATACCATTGTGCTGAATAACAAATATTTTGGTTAATTACAGCTCCTCCACTTCCTCCACTTGAGGCACAGACTCTCCACCCACCTGCAGAGGGCAAGCCACCTTTTTCCAGTCGAGAACCGTGACCTCAGATTTGGAGGAGCTGATCTTCATCCCAGTCGCTTCACACTCAGCTAGAGCATGAGACTGACAGTCGGACAGGTGATGTGGTCGCTGTATCGGACTGTTGTGGTGAAGAGGAAGCTGAGCCAAAAGGCAAAGCTCTCGATTTACTCGATTTGTTCCTCCCCTCACCTATGGTCATGAGCTTTGGGTAATGACCGAAAGAACGAGATAACAGCTACAAGAGGTTTCCTCCGCAGGGTGGCTGGGCGCTCCCTTACAGACAGGGTGAGGAGCTCAGCCATATGGGAGGACCTCGGAGTAAAGTCACTGCCCGTCCACGTTGAGAAGAGCAGCTGAGGTGGCTCGGGCATCTGTTCTGGATGCCTCCTGGGCGCCTCCCTCAGGAGGTGTTCCAGGCATGTCCCACTGGGAGGAGGCCTCGGGGAAGACCCAGGACACACTGGAGGGACTATGTCTCTCAACTGGCCTTGGAACGCCTCAGGGTCCCACCAGAAGAGCTGGAGGTAGTGTCCAGGGTGAAGAAAGTCTGGGAGTCCCTGCTTAGACTGCTGCCTCCGCGACCCGGCCCCGGATAAGCGGAAGAAAATGGATGGATGGTTAATTACATGTCTATTACTATTGTACCATGTATCATTTTGAAGCCCAACTTTGTGCACTAATAAATGTACAATGGTTTATGTTTTACAGGCATCTAACTGTTTCCAAAGACTTGCCCTCTTTCTTATAATCGTCTCAGTTTCTTGTGGCCACTAAAATGAGAAGCTCTCTGGCATTTTTGTTTTGTAAACGCAGCTCACCAAAGGAAAAAGGTTGGAGACCCCTGGACTAGACATTGGCATAACAAAATCTCACTTTGTTGCTGTGTACATAACATAAAAAGCATCTACACTGTCCAAAAACAGTGCTAGAATATCAAACAAAGGCAAAACGTGACATTCAAACTCCATAAATAGTATGAGAGAAAAATACTAATATAGAAAGTATTTGTACCACCGCAGTCTTAACTAAATCCATGGGAAACACTGTGGGTAAAACGATGACAAAAATGCAATCGTAATCCCGATGACGATATGCTATTTACGTAAAATAAACATAAAAAGTAAGAAGTAAAAATAAAGGATAATACTGAAACTGATTTATGCCACTAACACAAACCACAAAAACAATTCTAAATCTACACTATTATTAAAAAAAACATGAGCTGCAGTAAATAAACAGCGTAATGAAACCCTTTATTATTTGTAATGAGTCATAGAAGTTATTTATTCAGCCTTTTATGGCTTAAATCTGGCCATAAAACCAAAATATAACACAAAGCTTTCCCAGTAGTGCAAAGAAATGTTCGCACAATAACTAGTCACACCAAAAAATATCGTTCCAGCTTTCATATTCTGAATGATAAATCGATATAGTAAATGAAAGAAACTCAAATCTAGTGGTGTGAACTTTCAGAAGAAGCAGAGGACTTTGGTTATATCTTCCGGGTGGTATAAGGACAGAAGAAGTTTACATTAAACTGTGATAACAATTGAAATCGTGATGTGGCTCCAAGAAAAATGTGACATTAATTATTTGGCGTATCGTCCAGTCGTAGTCCAAGGTGACCTCACTGTAAAAATACACAACTAATCAGGGAAAAACCAACTTCGCAGCCACTCCGAGACTCTTTCATGATGACTGATTGTGGGCAAACGCATAAACATGTCAAATTACATTGTCTCTTGGATCAACAGAACTTTGGCTACTGAACTCCATGACACAGACGCCAAAACAAACCCCACACATCTGTGCAAGCAACCCCAGGTCAAATCAGGGCAGGGGGACCTCTACAATGTACAGACAACGTGATTCGGGTGACATCAAGTTGAAGCATTAAAAGGGAAACTACCTAAAACAATACATACTCATTAAGATTGATAAATGACCCCAGGACTCTCACGTAAGTTAATCATGAGGGATTATTTTTCTGTTCTGCATCAGTGAGGTAAACAACTATAACCTTAACTTTACTGCAGCAAAGGTGAAAGAATGTGACTTTTGGTAATGAAATAAAAATCAGTATGTCACACACACCACAATACTGAGCAACAGAGTGAAGCTGAAGGGCGCACGGCTCCATACAGTCTTCAGGTCTTCCATGCGCCCTGTAACAGGCTTATAGCGAGTGTATAAACAAGGACTTGGCAGAACACCAAGGATGCACCATTACAGCGACGTGCAGAGCGCCCACAATGACACACGCGGCTCGAGGGGCGAGCAAAAGCCTTCAGTGTTCATGTAAAACTACAGCATGGCATTCCTCTGCACACCGAGGTACGGCCACAGTCTACGGTTCAGCCCACGGATTTCAGAACAATGTTAAAAATGCAGCGCGTTTGTCAAAGGACGAGAGCAGGATCACTTTACCTCACGAGCCCGAGTCTTTACGATACGTCCACAAACCCAGAGTAAGAATCCATGACTCGTAACAATCCCAGATTTAACAATAAAATCCACAGTATCTTCTGGTTTAATAACAGATGATCAGATTGAGAGAGAAGCGCAGACCCGGAGCGCAGACCCGGAGCGCAGACCTGGAGCAGCGGAGAAGGCGCAACTTGAAACTGACAGAGAGGGATCGGACCGAACCACCAGGGCAAGAAGGAGGGGTGTCCGAGCAACTTTGTTGACTAACAAAATAGTAACGCGGAGAAACATTCCTAAAACATACTTTTATACTCAGTAATAATATGAGTAATAGAACAAACGAAACTTATTTGAGGGAATAAAGGACGATATCCAAGTGTAATTGAACAAAGTAGAGTCGGAAGCACCCCGCGGGCTGTTGGTGTGCGCCTGAATGTTTTAACTCACTTTAATCCGATTGGTCTTTCCCAACGTGACGCAGCGGCGCTGCTGCCTTCACGTGCCGTGGGAGATTCAGGCTGGAACGGGACAGTCTGATAAAACACACCAGGTCACTGCTGGAATTGATTTTACACATTGTGTGTTAATATGTTAGTGTAGTAGGCGATGACCTAAGTGGTTTTATTGACATAAACAGTCAATCAGATGAAAACAAATTTATGGACTTTTTTCTGTTTTTGAACATTTCCAATGAAAACAGGCCAGACCTACATAACAGAAGAGAAGACTTCCTGCCCTTCACCTGCAGGTGTGATGTAATCTCTTGTAAGATATTGGACTGAACTTTTGCATTAACATAAACATGTGGGCAGCAGAAGATTAAGATAGGCCTATACTTTATTGTTCCATAGAGAACTATGTCTTATGACACTTTAGAAAACTAAGGAACAGACCTTGGGCTCTGCTCTGTCAGGACTATCTTGGTTGGGTGATTTTACTGTGTGTGTTTTTGGGTTGTGGGGTGAAATCACGGATAGAACATGCAAACCCCACATAGAAAGGTTCAGGAGTCAAACATGTTAATGAGGTAAGTCACTCAGCCATAGCGTGTCACAGCTGAACCAGTGCTTCATGAAACAGTCTGCCTGGTGTAACATTACTTTAGGCAGTTGGTAAACAATAACACATTTACACCTGACTGATACAGTATATTAAGTGTCTTATAAGAGCACACAGTTGATGTGCAGTGTATGTGAGGACATGTGCGACAACTGTAATAAAAACAGACCAAATGTTTTTTTTCTTATGATTTCATTTCAGTGCATGACACAGATGAAGACTAACAGCTGACTGTGAAAGTAATTTAAATGTACACGGGAAAATACAGCTTTGTTTGAACCGGAGCCAGGGTGTATGAAAGGACACACAAAAACAGTACAGATTTCAAATGAAAAACACATGGAGCATTTGATGTCTAAGTACAGTATTTTGTTTGTGGAAGTCAATGTTTAGATGAAGATACAGAAGATTCAGCCTCCGCCGCAAACACAACATTATGTTTAAAGCAGCTGCCCTGGTTCACATTTGCTAATTAAACAAACCACACGGGGACCTGAGAGGATGTCATCTTAGTCCGAAAGTGCCAAAACTGCAGATAATGAAAACGTAGACTAAACTCAGAGGAAGGAGTCACAGACGAGATAATAACTGATGATTATAATGGCTCCTGCTGCGTCCAGACACCACACACAAAGCAGCAGACGCACTTACACCATATTATGAAACCTCACCTAATCACCCCGTGCACCTTGGTTCCTGCCACGCCCCTCCTCCGCTCAGGGACCTGTCTCGGACCATTCACCGACAGTCAAAAGCCCAACGCCAAACAAAGCGGTATGTACCCAAGGTGAGGCTCGGGCACATTCCCAACATAACAAAGGAATTACACGTGAGGTCATCCCCAAACTCTTCAAAAAAAAAAGCTCATTTGACAGATTACATCCAATGACAACATAATCCGCCAAATCAGACATCTTTAGTGCGGAGAATTACGCAGACCGAAACCAATTCAACGGGGCTTACTGTGCAGATAGCAGGAGCTGAGCATCCAATGGGAAATCCACCGGCCGGGATTTGTTGTCTTTCTAATATTCTCCGTCTGTCCTCACCGCCGCCGCCGCCTCCACTCCACTCCACTCCACTCACCCCCTCCCTTCTTTCCACCTCTTCTTCTCCTCCTTCCTCCTCTCAGCACGGCGAGATGCTGCCTGGACCAGCGCTCGTCGTCATGGTAACCGGGATCGAAGAGGAGGGGGTTGGAGCGGAGTCACGTGATTTTTTTTTTCCCCCTCTTTCCCGATTGGTGGGAGTCGCCGGAGCGGGTGAAGGGAGGGTTGGGCGGTGATGTCACATGCTTCACCGGGGAGACGGGGAGGGGGTCCGGCCTGCGAACACGCGTAAACACAATAGAGGTCCTTGTAAGGTGCGGTGACACCGGTGAAACACAAGTGAAGTGGGGGGCTATTACGCGAGGCTGCTGCAACTTGACCCCAGGACTTATAGGCATGCCGGGGGATACGAGATAGAACGGACGGTGCGATGTGCTGCTCCTCTGCCAAATCATGTTCCGGTACTTGAATCTGTCACGGAGAATTCAGATATAGAGTCCCATATTAGGAAAAGGATTTGATTTATGAGCAAAATTGTGAAATAAAAACACCAGGGAGTCATGTACAGTGGGTTAATTTGCATATTTTAAGACCAAAATGTGGAGCCTAACAGCAGCAATTAATAGTTATGGTGATTTTAAAGCCTTTCCTTGTTTAATGTATTTCTTACACAGTCATGGAAATCCTAGAAGTCATGGAAATTGCCTGGAAGAGTCATGGAAATTTGTAAATTCAATGAAAATTTTGAAAAAGTCATAGAATTTTAGTGTCTCTTTCACCCAACTACAGCGTTCTCTTAAGTTCTCATTAAACTATTATGATTATTTCCGAATGTATGAGCTTTTTGTTGAAAAGAGATGACAATAAATGCACTGACAGTAAAACCAAACCATAAGGTGAGAGGAAAGAGTTAACATTTCATATTTAGACCTAAAAGTCTGATCAATTCTCTGTGAAGTCATGGAAAATTCACTTTAGGTCATAAAAATGTCATGGAAAAGTTAAGAAATTTTGTCAGTGAAAAAGAGTGGGAACCCTGTATTCTCTAAGCCAGGGGTGTCGAACTCATTTTGGCCTGGGGGCCGTATCCAACCAACTTTGATCTCAAAGGGGCCGGATCAGAAAACTCATGTCATATAAACCCCAAAAATAACAATAAGTTCAAATATTTGTGCAGAGAAACACAAATCTATTACATAAATCTTTTTTAATTGATGAACTCTTTCTTATTATAAGTTTATAATATTATGAACAACCTGAAACTTTAAGAAAAATTCAATTTCAACACAATGTTTTAACATGAACTTGTATGTAATAAGTCAATTTTTCTTGGAAAATCCTGCACTCGGCTCCACTTTTCTCATTTTTGACATTTTGTTGATGAGGGTGTCACGGTCAACAGTCAAAACGATCGTCCTTTAAGAGCGTTTGGAAAGAGACAAGTCTTCATTTGTGCTGCTCTGGTGGGAGGGGCCACGTACAGAGACGCTGGAGACGCTGCTGTGATCAACACCACAGAAAATGACCAATATTTTAATAGAAAATATAATTAAAATATTTTAGTAGAAATCACCCAAGGGCCACATTAAAAGTCTTGGAGGGCCGGATCTGGCCCCCGGGCCTTATGTTTGACACCTGTGCTCTAAGCACTTTGAATTACTTTTTTTGTATGAACTGTTCCATATAAATAAACTTGCCTTACCAAGGTACAGCAATAGCAAATAGTAAAAACAACAGAGGAAACTACATAGACCATGATCTTTTGGTGCAGACTGACCAGAGGTGGGACCAAGTTGTTGTTTTGCAAGTCTCAAGTCTTTGACCTCAAGTCCGAGTCAAGTCCCAAGTCAAATACAGGCAAGTCCAAGTCGAGTCTCGAGTCACTGGCCCATAAGTCCAAGTCAAGTCCAAGTCGTCTGCTTTGAGCTTCAAGTCTTTTCAAGTCTTTAAACCAAAGCACCAAATATAGCTCAGATTTTTGCAATTGATATGAATTTTAAACTAAACTGTACTTAAAAAGTCATGGTGTATTTATGTATGGGTATTTATAGAGTATGTAAGAGTTGTAGAAATTAATTTAGTTAATTTTTCCTTTTTAAATTTAAATTTAAAAAGATCTTGAGTGTGAATCCTTACGGCAATAATAGAAAGAATTCAGAATTTAAAAGTGCTTTTTAAGTCTTCTCAAATCATAGGCCTCAAATCCTGAGTCAAGTTCCAAGTCATTGAGCTTCAAGTCCAAATTGAGTCCCAAGTCTTAGTCCACAAAACTGAAAAAAAAAAAACCAAAAAAAACAAAACTATTAACGCATTTTTAAATCTTAATTCTTCATATTATAACAGGACCAAAGGCTTTTCAAGGCTTTTAAAAATAAAAATGGCATATTCATATTTTTGTTAGTCTCCACAAATAACCGCAATAAATATCGAACAGTGAGATGCATATCGTGAAAATATCGTATCGAGAGATTTTGATATCGTTACATCTTCTGAAAACGTGTTGTTTAAATCCATTTTGTGTTTTCAGACTTCAAGCGTTTTTTTGCCAGTGTTTGCTGATGTGCGCATTGTGTCTCCATGGTAACTGCTGAACCTTCCACCGTAGTTATACATGTAAAAAAAATTCCAACGTGATGTCACTGGGACTTATGAGAGGAGCGCCCATATGGAGAGACTTGACCTGCTGGCCCCATAATTTTACAGCATCATATAAACCCGCTATTTCAAGGCCATCGACTAAGCTCCAGTCAAATGAAGCTCATCGAGGCCTGCAGTTATAGAATGTGGAGCCGAGTTTAATATTAGGAATAGGAATTGATTTACGAAAAAATTGTGAAATAAAAACATCAGGATCAAGTAGAGTGGGTTAATACGAACATTTTAAAAGGTGCATTGTGAGAATTTTCAGGTGGAAAGTATGTCAAAAGTTGTTGTTGCTTGGTCTGGAATGTTTCACAGTATGGCTTTACACCTTTCTATCTTCATGGAGACCAAACCAGACCAAGTCACAGGTCAGATCTGCGGCGAGGCGATGCTGCTCACA